TTTGGCTGTGAGCTGCAAGCGACCGCCGAACTGTGACATTTGCGAGGTTGGCACTTTGAACTCACACTAATGACCTAATTTGTTTACAATATAACTAAATTTATCAAATTTTCTACAATATACAAGATTGTCATCAAAATAAACCCCTTTTCTAGGAGCAAATGGAGCAAGTCGTGAAGGCGATGGGTGGTGATTGGGAGAAGCTCGATGAGGGGAAATTAAAGGAAAAGATGATTAAGGATTGTATCGATGATGATGTGAGTTTGCTTGATTGGAAAATAAGGCATGTTTTTTGTTAAATTGTTATTTGAGATGAATAGGATCTCTTTTGAGCTAACCATCTTCGATTGGTCGTCTTTTTCAAAGCACTTTGAATTCAATAGAAAGAACAATATAAAACTTTTATTGCTTTAGTTTGATGAAGATGAATGCGAGGAAGGATTTGCCGTTTTCAAACCCGAACTCGACATATTGACTGGAGGAGCGAAAGCGGGCAAAAAAGCCGCACAAATCTGTCGAGACATGGTGAAATGCGAGAAGAGAGAGAGTCACAAAGATCGAGAGGATAAAGAGGACCGAGAGGATAAAGAGGATAGAGAGGATAAAGAGGATCAAGAGGATAAAGAGGATGGAGAGGAAAAGAGGATCGAAAGGATAAAGATTAACCAGTTTGAAGTCGTGTTTAGTGTTTGAGTAAATACAGGCTACTTGTTTATAAAACAGAACATCTTGTGTGCAAAAGATAACAGTACAGAGTTACTTAAAACCTTTTAAGACAAGTTCTATTAGGTTGTTCGGATATAAACGAGCGTTTGCACTGCTTAACTCGTGAGGAAGCCATTTCCCGCACCTGATCGCCTTTCCAAAGGCGTGGAGATGCTCATCAATAGTAGAATTTGAACATAGAAACTGTTGAGCAAGTTCACGCGTCGTTTGACATGGATCCGATTCGATTGCAGCCCTCAAAGTAGAGTGTGTTCCTATCGGATAATGCGTTTTCTAAAATGCACCTAGTTGAGAAAACTACCGTAGTCAAAACTTTAATTTACATGCAATCACTCCGATTTTGGTAGCATTCGATGCGGAATTACAAGGCTTAATCAATGAGAACAAAATCGGTCTGATGCAAACTAACGGTTTGATTACGATAGTTTTCTTAAATAGGTGCATTTTAGAAAAGGCATTATTCGATAGGAACACACTCTACCTCAAAGTATCGTTGTCTACCGCTTGAGGTCGACGAGAGTGTTCATGATCCTCGAGACTTTCATCACCGTTCCAAAAGCGTTGGAACCTGACTCGGTATCGGCTTTTGGATAATACATCATTCTCAAATACTTTGATCAAATCTCAATGGGATTCCGTGACTGTTTTGCCTAGTTTGAAGTCGTAAAGTAGAATTTGAACCATATTGAAACATATTGGAACCGAATCTGAACCATATTGGAACCATATTGGAACCATATTGGAACCATAATGGAACCATATTGGAACCGAATCTGAACCATATTGGAACCATATTGGAACCGAATCTGAACCATATTGGAACCATAATGGAACCATATTGGAACCGAATCTGAACCATATTGGAACCATATTGGAACCATATTGGAACCGAATCTGAACCATATTGGAACCATATTGGAACCGAATCTGAACCATATTGGAACCATAATGGAACCATATTGGAACCGAATCTGAACCATATTGGAACCATATTGGAACCATATTGGAACCGAATCTGAACCATATTGGAACCATATTGGAACCGAATCTGAACCATATTGGAACCATAATGGAACCATATTGGAACCGAATCTGAACCATATTGGAACCATATTGGAACCGAATCTGAACCATATTGGAACCATAATGGAACCATATTGGAACCGAATCTGAACCATATTGGAACCATATTGGAACCGAATCTGAACCATATTGGAACCATAATGGAACCATATTGGAACCGAATCTGAACCATATTGGAACCATAATGGAACCATATTGGAACCGAATCTGAACCATATTGGAACCATATTGGAACCGAATCTGAACCATATTGGAACCATATTGGAACCGAATCTGAACCATATTGGAACCATATTGGAACCGAATCTGAACCATATTGGAACCATAATGGAACCATATTGGAACCGAATCTGAACCATATTGGAACCATATTGGAACCGAATCTGAACCATATTGGAACCATAATGGAACCATATTGGAACCGAATCTGAACCATATTGGAACCATATTGGAACCGAATCTGAACCATATTGGAACCATAATGGAACCATATTGGAACCGAATCTGAACCATATTGGAACCATATTGGAACCGAATCTGAACCATATTGGAACCATATTGGAACCGAATCTGAACCATATTGGAACCATATTGGAACCGTATCTGAACCATATTAGAACCATATTGGAACCATATTCGAACCATATTACAACCTTATTCGAACTATATTGGAACCATATTGGAACCATATTGGAACCATACTGGAACTATATTGGAACCCTATTGGAACCGAATCTGAACCATATTGGAACCATATTGGAACCATATTGGAACCATTGGAACCATATTGGAACCAGTTTGCCCAGCCCAGTCGTAAAGTAGGCGGACGCGAACTTGATATTTGAAGTCGGTCATCTAAAGCAAGAAAAAAGATCTTAAAAATAACAAATTATCCGTTTAAAAAGATTCCAAATATGCACAAGATAACGTACTTTAAAATACAAAAAGACATGTTTTAAAAGCTTCTCTCACAACAATAAGTTTAGCAACGCTTGTTTATATCCGAACAACCTAATATTAGAAAGAAAAGAAAAGTTCTATTAGATGCATAAGAAATGCAGATTTTGATCAAAAAAAAAGCTCTAGAATATTTAAGAATTCATTCAAAACTTCAATTCACTTATTATTTATTACTTCAATTGCATAATTTCGCAAGCTCGCAAGCGCAAGCCAGTAAAACGTAGATCTTCTCCAATTCTTTGACGTAAAGCGTCGTCATCAATGGTGAGAGGACGGTGATCATGTCCTTCATCATTTAGATCCACGTTATCGTTGCGGAACTTTTTAAACTATCAGCCGCATTTATTATTCAGATATAATTTCTGGTCCAAAGACAGAAGCAAGCGTTTTATGGCTTTCAACAGCGTTCTTTCTCTGCTTGAAGTCGTAGAGCATACATGCACGCGATACTTGAGGTTCTCCATCTCTAATATAAAAAGTATTGGAGCAGAAAATATCAATTGATAAGCAATAGAAACTAGTCAAATATGGCTAAAAAATGCAAAAAGAATTAGCTAAAAATGTTGAACAGATGATGAGATACAAGCTATCAAAAGTTCATCCGCATTTCTTATGCATTGACCTAATAGCATCATATTCTGAACAGAGTATCGATAAATGAGAAGATTTGTTTGATTTTCTTGACTGTTGAATAAATGGTAGAGATTGCCGAGTTTGACAATCGACTTGGATTGCCAAGAGATACGAGGTGCCGAGATGAATATACGTTGTGGCGAAATTAGCGTCGTCATTGATTGGATCTAAACTTGTGTTCGTAGCGTTGAGAAAATGATCTTGTTGGGGGAAATTATTATTGTGCATCTTTTCGTCGCATAAATTTGTGGATGCTACATTTGGGGAATTTTGTGAATGGCAATGTCAGTGTATTCAATTTTTGCAGAAATGGTCAAATAATTTTCTTTCGAGCAAAACGGCCATTCTTGATTTTCTTTTGCGAATTTTTTGTGCCAAAAAATAAAAAAAGCGATAAAAGCTTTGTCAATGCACGCAATATTAGAATATTCCATAAAAGTTTTTATTTGAATTGATCTTTCCCCGACACATGGTTCAGGGGCCATACCCGGCCTGCCCTAAGCCCAGACTTTATTAAAAAGCACATCTCCAGGTGCATCACTAGATTTCTAAGAGTTTCATAAGACCTCAAGAAACCCTGTGTCACTTTGTTTCGTTTTTTTCTATAAAATGCGATTGCTCGAATGCGATTGCTCGAATTCTATTTGAGCTTTTGCCTAAAAAATCGAATCTAAATCTTACAATCGGTAGTTGAATTTGTTTATAATAGTTAACTATGAAAATTGCATGCTAAAAAGTTTTATCGTACTTACGTTGAGTAGAGCAATGTTATTCACCGTATTTACTCGATTATAAGACCGTCTCGAATAGAAGACGGGGTCTAGGGGATGATCGAAAACATAAAAGAGAATATAAGACCTGTCTTCTATTATACGATTAATATACGGTAGAAGGAACGTGTAATCTTTTAGGCTCAGGCTTTTCCGAAAGTCGTTTTCCGTTTTCCCAACCATGTTTTTTGCATAGTTTTGCGTTTTTTTTTTTTTTGAGAAAATTACTTAAAAGGGTGAATTTGAAGGAAAAACTTTTAAAAATACTGTACCAAGTTTTCTTCAAGTTTGACAAACCAGATGACCAAATCCAGCTAGTTTTTTACTAGCTTCGACTCGATCTTTGATCTTTCTTAAAGGTAAGGAAAAATCAAAATAACGATCGGTTGTTTGTTTTTGTTTTTAAGTAAATTTTTGAATCTTGCAACTTCTAGCAGCATCTTCTGCAAAAGATGACAAAGGCAAGTCGAATTTTCAAAGATCACAAAGATCCTCAAAGTTCAAAGATCTTCAAAGAATAAAGATCAAAGAACAAAGATCGAATCAAAGCAATTTAAAAAAACTAGCTGAATTTGGTCATCTGGTTTGTCAAAATTCAAGAATTTTACGTAAAACCCTTTTTGAGATTTTATTTGTATCCTTTTTACAGTTATTGATCTAAAATTCTCTCATTTCGTCATTTTCATTGCTGCACGAAAAACGGAAAATTCTCTTTCGACAGGAAATTCGGTGATAACAACAAGAAATCAATTGGGGAAATAGAACAAAAAGTTTTCTTTTATTTTTCAAATTGCAATAAATTCAAAAATTCTTTAGAAATTTGTCAAAATGGTCTCGCAAGAAGATCAAAAATATTGGCCTCTTGTCACATTCGAGAATGGACAAATTCAGTTCAACGAGGAGGTGGCACGGGCCACATTTGCCCATCCAAAATACGAAGCTTTAAAAGTGAGCTCATTCAAAGTATTATAAGTAGTATAAGGGTTTATTTCAAAGATTTCAAATTTTGAAGCTTTCAACAAAAATGAAATCTAAATCAATTTCTAGATCAGTTTGGTTAGCGTGATTGGTCCGACGAGAACCGGGAAAAGCTTTTTAATTGCTTATTTGGCCGAGGGAGCTCCGTGTCATTTCATAACGTAGGTTAAACATTTCAAGATTTTATAAAGAGTTCAGTCTTTTTTGCTTGAAAAACCTAAACATTTTCATTTCAATTTTACCTTTGATAAACAAGAGTAAGTTGAGCTTTGCTTCACAAAACCAAAAATAGTCACAACTATTCTACCGTTTTCTATAAATATAATTTTTAGTATCTTACTGTCTGTTTTTACTATATTACTCATTGCATTACTAAACAAAAATCCCGTTTTTTAAATCAAGAAAGTTTTCAGCGTTTCCGTTTTGATTGAATCAATGAATGAATCTGATTGAATCAATGGATAAATGATTCTGATTGAAACAATCAATGAATCAATGAATCGCTGATTTTTCGGGATGACTGATTGATTCAATCAGATTCATTGATTGAATCAATAAACCAATGAATCTTATTGAAGCAATCAATTAATGAATCTGATTGAATGAATAAATGAATCAATCAATCAATCAGTTTCAACTATTTGATCAATTTAGTGGACGTTTCAAAAGCGGTTACGATCCGGTGACGGAGGGGATCAAAATTTTCTTCAGCCCGCTGATTTTTCGGGACGACTGGGGCATCCAGGTCAGTCATATCTTATGAGAAATTGAATATTCTTAAAATCATTCGAAAATTAAATCGTATCGAGTTTTTTCTTTGAGCACGCCGTTTTCTTTCTGGACACCCAAGGCACTTTCGATCTAAAGAGTGACCGCGAGATCTCCGAGTGGATCACCACGCTGAATTTTCTCATTTCTGACATTCAGGTTAAGAGTTTAGAATTTATTGAATTTGGCTCTTTCCCTGAATCGTGGTCTTTTGCAATTTTTTCTTTTTTTACCATTTATCAGAATTTAAAGAACAATCTTAGAGAAAGGGATAAGCTGCCTCCAAGCGAACCAACAAATGTTGAAAGAGTTGACCCTTCTCTGTTGCTCTCCTAAACATATGTTTAAATATATAAGTTGATGGTCGACTATTTATTGTTCCACGTAAATGGTGAATTGAAGCCTTCCACCGTAATTATCGAGCTTAATTTTCAAAGATTCAAAGATTACATTATAATTTTTGTGTATGGATAGTGGGGTCATTTGGGTAGAAAAATTGGAGCTTGTGATTGACCCTTGTAATTGGACACTGGTGGCTCCGACTACAATGGGCCGGCTGAAGAGGGCAACGCTGTGGGTCCGACGGAAGTGGCAGTGATGTTGACCCTGACAGACGCAGAAGCCTGTGATGATTCGTGCTTTGCTGAGCTGAGACGACCAGCGACTGGTGATTCGACAGGCGTCGAGTCACCAATCGCCGTCACCACCAAAGAGGAACTACCGGCAATAATGCAAACACTGATGACGAGATGGACGCTGAAGCTGATAACGATGTCATTCTACCTCTATGGGCTCGAGTTGAAGAAACACGAAGGAAGATCAAACATTGAACCAATAAGAGATGCGGGATTTGTAACTCAATTGCCGGACACATCTTACGACAAACATCCACTCACAAAGAGAAAGACCCTCGTTTGTGCCGTGACCACTTCCGGGGCCCGACGTTGGGCGACATCACACAGAATTCCTCGTGGTCTCAACAGGATATCGTCAAGTTAGCAAGGATGTCTTGGCTGTATGTGAAGGCCAGCTTTACAAGCATACAAGTGTCCGAGGAAACGCAAGGCGTGCCAAGCCTTGCGTTTTGCCGGAATGCTAAAATTGTTGCTCTTATGATTGTTCTTTAAATTCAAATAAACTGGTGAATGTGGAACTTAATAAAATAGGTTAAAACAACTGCAAAAGCCTTTTTGGTAAAAAAACAAAAAATTGCCAAGGCCACGAAACGGACTTTTTTTGACAAAAGACCATGAAACTTTTAAAAGACCACGAAGATGATTATAGATAATCAATTTGAAAGGAAATATCAACGGTGAGGATTTGCGAACGGTGCACAGAGCCTCCGAGGTGGCGGCCTCAATGAATGGACATCAGATGGCTAAAGTTAGTTATAAAAAACGGTACTCATTAGTGTAGTTAGGTTATGGTATACCTAACTTCATGTAAAACCTGTTCAGATCGATTTTGCGGTCCAGGCAAAACCAGGACCAGCTCAAAAGCCAGAACCTTGGTTTATTTTTTGCTTGGTATACCTGGCTAATATCAAGTTACTTTGCATTTGTAAAAATGAAGAACCATAAAAATTTTAATGTTTTCTATATTAGAGTATGCTTTCTTATTTTAGAACCTCCTTTTTCTGGTACGAGACACCGCGCAGCCGAACATGGACACTGCTACGTTCCTCAATTGTGTTTGGGTAACGAATTTTTTCGCAAACTGTGAAAGTTTTGCTACGTATTTAGTCACGCTGCTCACAATCTAAAGAATTGGCTAATGTAGTCACCTCATTGCGAAAGAGATACCCGCAAGAGCACACAAAATGCATCTTGACGTCGATGCCTTCAAAGGATTTGGTTAAAGCCGATAATTTTGCAATAATTCGGAGTGAGTCAATAAGAAAAATATTTCTATTTTGACAACAATTAGACGATGATTTGGACATTCTTCATCGTTTTGAAGAAGTGGAAAAACTCATCAAAAACACGATCGCTTTAAATGATCGATCTTTTCGAAGCCCGGATGATCATATTGATTATTGGAAGGTCAGCTAACAGATTTCTTGATTTTCTTGATTTAATAATGATGATTGTATCCTGAGATCTGAGCGTCAATGGTCAGTTTATCCTTTGCAGAATGCTATCGATTTTCTGATGTACAAACTCCCAAAATTCACTACAACTACCGAGGTTGCACTAGTTTTTTCAATCAAAAACAAAACCTAAAAAGTTTTCCCCTCAAGCGAGTGTAAGTTTCAGATGACAATGGAGTCTTTGATTATCAATGTCTTTGATGAGGCTTATAAACCATTGGCTGCTATATTAGAGGCAAGGAATTTATTGTCTTTACGCTAAAAAGCCATTTCAGAAGATAACACTAGAAGATTTGAAAAACGTTGGTATTAGACTTCAACAAGCTATGTCTAATTATTTTGACAAGAACCCGGTTACCGATGTCAAGCTAAAAGAAGAACTTGTGAAAAGACTCACGAAACAAATTGAGGTTTCGTTTAGTTGTGTGATTTTCATGAAAAATTTAGAATGATCATTATAAAAGGAAACAATATTTGGAAGAAGAAATGAATGCCAGAGTTCAAGAAGAACGAGAGCAAGAAATGATTGAAAATGTGAGGAAGAGGGTACAAGAAGTGAGTTGAAAAATCCAAAACATAATCATTTTTGCCTTTTTAAGCTTCGCTGGATCTAACTAAGACTAAAAAACTACAGTAATCAAACTGCCACTCGATCAGCCAAGTTTTGGCATCATTCAACGAAGAATCAGTTAATGATATCAAAATTTCAAAGATTCAATGAAAACCAGCGATTTGGCTAGCGGTAGGAGGCAAGTGTACGATTGATTAGAAAGTCATAGTATCGATATTGAGATTGATACTATACGTAGAAAAGCATAGTATACTACAAATTGTAACTGGATGAACGAGGTCAGCCATTCAAATCATTCAAATCATTCAAATCATTCAAATCATTCAAATCATTCAAATGAATTCATTCAAGCTTGACTCAATCGAAGAAGCGGTCAAGTTCCACCAAGCTGGACATCTTCAAGAAGCTTGTGGCGGTTTTCTAAAAGCCCAAAGGGCTTTAGAGGTTGATTTTTCATTTGAAAACGTAGACTTTTAAAATTTTAGTTTATGTTCTCAACAAAAGTTCGACAGCTTTTACCTGCGTATTTCAAAGATTTAATTCGAAGACAGGATCAGGCACTTCGAGAAAATCTACAAAAAGTTGTTTAAGCTTTGTTATATTAGAAATTTGTTCAGGAAATTTCGAACACTCTGAAAAGAGAGCAACTGGAAAACCAACTGGAAAAGCAATTACAACTTTTGCAAGTTGAAATCTCCAATGTAAGCACTTTTCTTCAAGTCACTCACGAAGAAGTGGAACCCGTGCTTGTGGATGCTCGCAGCATTTTTACAGTAAGACTTTTACTTTGTTTCCTAACCGTTTACTTTCAGAAAACTATGGAGAATGCGTTGAAGTTTCACGAGAGAATTCAACAAAATAAAAGGCAGCAAGAATTTAGAAAGAAAGAAGCCGAAGAATTGGGTGAGAAACGGACAAAAGTGGAGATGACAAAGGAGAATGAGACGAAAGAGAAATACGGTGATTGTCAGCAAATCGATAGAGTTGACTCGGTTCTATCAGATCGAAGAGCTCATCAAGAAGCGGAAGAGCTTGTAAATGATAAAATATCGATGGATCAACAAACCAAGTCAACTTCGATGCATAAAAACTGCGCAGAAGAACTCATAGAAAGAAAATTGACCACTCTATCCGAATCTGCAGAGATTTCAGTTGTTGAAAAAGTCCACGTTGCTCAATTTCAACTTCCTTCAGAAAGCGAAACCAATGAAACTGATAACACAGCTGAAAATCGTCATCAAAAACTTTCAAATGAAACATCAGCTGTGCCCAAAATAAAGCCTGAACCGTTAATCACTTCAAAAAATTCAGTAGAACAATACAACAAAAATTTGAACAATGTAACAAACGAACGCTACCAAAATAGGCCCGTCATTCCTATTCAAAATAACAATAAAGCAAGTGGAGAACCGTTTCAAGAGCCTCAAGAACCAATTGCCGAGGCTCAGCCGTCTTTTGCCCTGACCGTGGTTGAGCCAAAGAAATTTGTTCCTTCCGTGAACGGATCCATATGGACATCAGTTGACTTCACAAAGTCAACAATGGATCTTTCAAAAAATCAAAGCAACCCTGTGCACGAGCAGGATGAAAAGAAGAATATAAATTCGACGACCAATGTTCCCAATGAAGGTTCAGCTTTGATTAGTGATTTGAGTTCCAATGTTGGCACTCAATGCTATGCTTCACCAATGACGAAAAATTTAGATCAGAGTAAACGCGTCCATCAGCAAAATAACTGTAAAGCTATCTCGAATAAAAACGAGTGTAGAATAGCCAGCGACTATGATTCAACTTTGAATAAAGATTTGAGGCAAAAGATTTCTTCTACTAGCCACAATGGAGCAGATAGCGAGCAACGATCAGCAACAAGGCCATTCCAAGATCAGACCCGAATTGCTGCTGTCAATCAAAGCAGAGAGTACCCAATCTTGTCTTCAATAGTGGAGATGACAAAGGAGAATGAGACAAAAGAGAAATACGGTCATTGTGAGCAAATCAATAGAGTTGAGCCAGTTCTATCAGATCAAAGAGTTAATCAAGAAACGGAAGAGCTCATCGACAGGATGCACAAAAGAAAGCAGAATTCCACAAAAGTTGAGCAATCAAACGCTCCTTTAATAGCCAAATTTGAAAAAGAAACGCAAACTCTCTCCCCGATCGCTAAACTCCCCGAATATGTTCCAGTTTCAATCTTCGATGATTTACAAAGGAAATTGGATGTTTTATCTCGGGTTAGGTGTCTTATTTTTACTTCTTTATTTACATTTTAGAATTATCATCAAAGCGTTCTGCCGGAACGAAAAGACACTTTTATGAAAGCCATTCTCTTGGCAGGGATCAAGTATCTGCCATATACTAGTGAAAGTGTTAAGCAACAAGTTCTCGACATGGTTGCTGAGTGTTACAATAGAAACACTGGAGAGTTCTTCAAGGTATTTTTTAGAGAGGTAAAATGTGTCAACTTTAGAAACTTACCGTAACCTTGTCTCCGTTTTATCATGGCTTTTATTCCTTTACTGGTTAAGGATACAACAAGATATCAAAAGATCAAAGTAGCTTTTGAAATCAGGACTTTTTAGCAAAACCAGTAGTTTTAACAGTGAACAGTATTTACTAAAAACTGCTCATTTTAGATTACAAAAGATCAGATGTTTGATTCATCGGCATCCTCTTCTCTCTTGAACTTGCCCACGTTTCTTGAACTCAAAATAAAAATGAAAACGTGCGAGGAACAGCTGAGAAACTATGCGAAAAACTCTAATGAAACCCGAATTCACTTTCAAGATGTCGTTCGGAGCTTTGAGGTAATGCCTATATTTTATAAAGTTTACGGACGATTTAGCTTTCATGTCTCAAACGCAAAGGATCTTTCTTTGAGGTGGTGACTTTGTGCGAGAGTTTTTCTCAAATGGCTGAGTTGATTTTTCTGCAAAAGTTTGATGAGCGACTCTATTTTCCCTTTGTAAGTTGAAGCTTTCAATCAGCTCAACCCACGGAAATCACCGTAATATTCCTTTAGGTTTCAACTTTTAACTTATTAGGTTGGCCGGAAAGTTCTTTCCGTTTTTTGACGCTAGATCTAACTTTTTATTTTACGCATCAAAAACACCAAATAAAAAAAAAGAATTTATCTATTCGAAATATTCACCGTCAATATCAATAACATCCTGTCACTTATCCGGCAACAAATAGAACGGCGGTAAAACGGCGGCGGTAAAACTCACGTGGCTTCGAATCGAAAAACTGAGTGAGTGACAAGCGTATTTCCTCGACGTTTTTGAAAGATCTTTCCACGCAAATGATGCTCCAGAGACCTGAAAACCACTTCTCGTCTCCGGTCACAATGCTCTCGAAAAATGGCGTTTCATTGTTCCGCTCCAAAAGTGCAGTCGCCACATCAATTCGTTTTTGCTTCTGGGCTTCGGTCAACTCGTGTGGGATCCACTTCAACTTCTTCCAAATTTTGCCTAAGGAAACGAGAATCAAAAGCTTCAAAATCAAAACTTACCGACCTCACGCAGAATTTCCTCAATTGTTGTCTTGCCACACTCAAAATCCTCAGCCAACATCCGCGTTGTCAATGACGGGTTGTCTTCAATTGTTTCCAAAACTGCGTGACGATCAACTTCTCGTGGGTGCCCTGACCTCGGAACATCGGCCAAACTTTCCTCTCCTTCACGAAACTTTGCGAACCAATTTCGGGCTGTACGATCCGTAACAATGCCTTCGCCAAACGCCTCACAAACTTTTCGTGCAGCCTCCGAAGCATTCAAATTCAATTTCCATTGAAACAAGTGCAGCAGACGAATTTCCTCCTTGGAGAGACTCATTGCTTGAAACAAGTATAGGGAAGATATATACCAAAATGACCGCAAGGAAACGCACTTTCTAATGACATAAAAATCTTCCAGAAAAACAATAACGCTGAAAAACTACGGCTACACCGGAAAGAACTTTCCGGCCAACCTAATAATTGGATAAAAAAGGGCAAGATTACGGTCGTTTTAAGAAAGGGGACACGTTTTAGAAAAAACTTCAGAGTGTATGAACACTTTAGCAGACAGTAAGATTTCATTCTAGTTACCGTGGCCTTTTTCACTTCCTTTCCTCTTCCTCCTTGTTTTTCCTTCTTTCTCTTGGCGAGTTAAGATAACGGATAGCTCAGTGATTAGAGCAATTGCCCGGGAAGGAAAAGGTTGAAAGTTCAATCCATTCTCCGGAAATCCACTTTTCCTTGTCAATTTCTTCACTTCATTATTACTACAATACATAGCAAGTACAGTAACCAATGACCATACAAAGTTAACAAAGATGACAGTGTCTCACACCCGGACAAGTACCTACTGTAATTAGAATCAGACATAAAAAACGCAGAACTCACTCATTAA